CAATTGTTTTTTCTCATTACTATTTGGTTGTGCTTTTCTATGTACCCTTAGCAACAAAGACAAACATCTCCTGTTTGCCCATGGACACACACTACACACTCGTATCATGTTGTTTCATTGTAATGATGCCATGGAAGCGAAGATTCATGCTTTGATTCCAGGAATGGTTCTAGACATCCAACATACAAATAGACTAGTGCTTGTGCATGCTGACTTAATTGTTGCACTATCTATCCTGCAGTCTAATGACAACCTGTTATGTTCAGCTTATGGGCAATTGGTAGCTGAGATTAAGGCTCTCATGGTAGACAAGGAGTTTGTTCCCCAGAAGATTAGTCCTTCACAAAATAGGGTAGCATATCGGTTGACTTATAGCCGTACGGAGTCATGTACGTCTATATGGTTGCATTGTATGCCTCCATATATTGAGGACCTCGTGCTTCTCGATTGTAACCCTATTCCTATGGAATAAACTCCTTTTACCTCGCAAAAAAGTAGACATTGTGCCTTTTTTTAACAAATCTCAGCTCTTTAGCGGCACGTGTGTTACATTGCCGCTGTGAATCGATGTCCATACTTTGCCTGCTTTCAATCGCTTCAATTTTTGTCTATGTTGCTACACGACACTGGGACTTTTGATCGAGCTGCAATTTACTCCCTCCATTCCTAAATATAAGTCTTTGTAGAGATTTCACAATAGATTACATACGGAGTAAAATGAGTGAATCTATACTCTAAAATATGTCTACATACATACGTATGTGGTTTATAGTGAAATCTCTCCAAAGACTTGTATTTAGGAACGGAGGGAGTAGTTGCTTGATCGAACCTGATGACGAACTTCATTGTCGCACCTCCATCCAATCTTGTCGCATGTCATAGGCTTCTTCCATAGCCACGACCTCCTCTCGGTTAAAACATACAAAACCTCGGAATAACCTAGCTCATGATACCACTTGTTAGAATAATTCAAGGTACACATCGATCTGTACACATAAGCACACAAGAACAAGCAGCGGCACTGAGATTTGTGAGCGATATTCACCAATTCTGGCTGCATTCCCGGGCATGACTTCAGGCGCTCCTCCCATGTACTAATTAAATTGACATAATAGAACGGACGACAACCCCACCAAGGCCAACAAAGAGGTATCTGGCCACCTTCCACAGCCAGCCCAGGCACCCCTGCCATAGGTACCCGGCCTGTCCCTCTTATGATCTCTGTTTAGCCTTCCAGCTTATGTCTAGTCTATTCGGCTCCACAATGCTTTTATATAATAGGCCCGGGTTACATGTGTTCGACTCAGACACCTAACCCTTCACTAATTACAAGTCCAACTGCATCACAGCTCGTACACATATATTTTTAACACCTGCCACGATGCTAACTCACACCATATTGCTTGCAGTAAAGCACTAAGCGAATGTGCCCTCTCACAAATTAATTGATCTGATGCCTATCCTTGCCGCTCTGCGCAGCTAGCCCATGATATGTATATTTTACATTGCAATTTCAGAGGCTAAATTCTCAATTACCATGGATACTCAATCATGTTTTCCATGTTTCATCTTAGGGCCTGTTCGGGAACTCCCTAGCTCCAGGAAATCCTCAAATCCAGCTTCTGTTTTCGATCGCCAGCTTCTTCCACGAATCGGGATCGATGGAAAACCGTTCGGCTCGATCACTCCGGCTTCTTGTCGCGCTAGCAGACCCTTGCCTGGGCGGGCTGGAGCCCAGTCGGCTCAACAGGTAGGCGCTGTGAAACACGAGGAGAGAGGATGGGCTTGGCCCAGATCGGAGGTAAACATAACGAACCGGTATGTGAGGCACTTTGCGGTGGCATCCGATCGTAAATAACTCCAACTCCAGGAATCCAGCTTCTGGGATCGACAAAACTGCGGCTCCAAGTTTTTGTACGTCGATGCTGCTTCGATTTGGGAAGCCAGCTTCCTGGAGCTGGGCCGTTCGAGCCAGCTTCCCCCGCGGATTCGTGGAAGCTGGGAGCTGGCAAGCTACCGAACATGCCCTTATTGTAGTATTACATCGGGAGGGGGGCGAAAAACTATTGGAAATGGAGTATGAAGAATTCACTAAGAAAAGCATGGGTCCCAAAGCAAATGAAATACAAAATTTTGTTCCTGGAATGTGAAGAAGGTTGGAGATAAGCCCTAGAAGGTCGACCCTGGGGGAGGAAGTGGTCACCCAGATGGTTGGTCCACATTACCCAAGCCTTGGCCACGTGGCCATGTCTTGTGAGTCCAATAGGGACTACCTCCTCTTTCTAGAGGGATGATCCTACCAGACCTTCCACTTTCGACTAGGGGAATTCATCGCCATAGTTGTCACCAATACCAATGCATCATGGAGAGCATCTCCATCCATACAATCTTCACCACCATTTCCATCTCCATCTCTAGCGTCATCCCTATGTGATTGGTATAGATTGGTCCATGTAATCGCTTCGTGGTGTTAATTGATATTTTCTACCAATATTGATGTGATTAAGATTCAGGCATCCAGACCTATTTTAAATTTCATATTTTTTTTGCAAGAGATCTCTGCAGCAACGCGTAGGGTATAATCTTGTTCTACATAGCATAAGACGTCTCTAGTAGTTCCACCGTTGATACCATAAGTGGTCTGGGATTACGTTAGAACCAATGTACCCTAAGTAATCGCCATGATATGGCTGTTTTGGGAGCACATTTTGCAATGTTCCTTCGATGTTCTCCGTGTTTCGGAGGTTCATGTTGAAAGGGTTCATGGCCGAGACGAGGTCCAATAAGAGCCTTAAGAATTGTTTATTTATTCTTTTATTAATTCTTGAAACATGTACCCATTCTTAACATAGCTCAATTTGTGTCAAAAAACAATTCAAGTACTGATGCACGACAATCATGAAACAATGCTTTGTTCAAATCCATTTGTTTGTTATTTGAAAACAAAACAATGGTACATATATGATCTCTTATGAGATCTGAATACTAAAGAAAAGAGACACACCACTACATTGGTGTCTATTTTGTGCCGATTTTTATGTGCTCCTTCCGTAAACTAATATAAGGATGGAATCCGTCCTTATATTAGTTTACCGAGGGAGTATGTATTCAAAAAAGTCTCACCACGACGGCATCACGAAACTTCGTATCGACGCACAAGCCTCTGAGCCATCGCTTCCGTCCCCTCTCCGTGTCTCCCACTTTGACGAGAGTCCATGTATATTATGCCTCGCTCATGTCCCTTGTGTATGCTTTGTGTGCCAAGTGCTCCGCGAAATTCATGTTCCAATCCCTATGGTTCAGTTTCGCAAAAAAAAAAAATCCCTATGGTTCAGAATAACCATTACAGTTTAGTTGAAAATAGTACTAGTACATCAACTAAAGATGGGAAAGGACGAAATTGCCAAAAGAACGGACGCACGGGATCCTCTCTTTCTGTTCGTCCAGAACGACGCACCGCCAGCGGGAAAAAAAAGGACGACCCACCGCACGCCCGCTCGACTGCTCCGCCGCCGGCCGGCCGTCCTCCGCCCCCTTGCAGTTCCTCCACCGAGCGAGCCGGCCCCTTCAGTCCCTCTCTTCCGCGGGGCCCCGTCGCGCCCATTCTTCTCCTCGCCGCGCCGCCGTCCGCTCGACCCCAGCTCATCCCGTCCGCGAAGGAGACAGGCAGCAGCAGCGGCCCGAATCGAGGGAGGGAGGATCCTCTCAGGTGAGCTTCTCCCTCTCAGATGTGATGCCCGTGTCTCTGGTCTTCATTTGTTCTGCGATTATTTTGGTAGTACTGTACGAACTCTAGCACGGGGAATGGATCTGGGATGAGGGATTTACCTGTCACAGGAGATGGGCGATGCCAAATGGATCTGGGATAGAGGGATTTTGGAATCGACAAATGTTCATGGGTGTCAAAGCCTCAAAGGAGGTTCCCAGAACCAACCGTACTGCAGAGCTTGACCGTCTCTGCAACACCAAGACAAAGTTGCCTGCCTTGTTAACATCTAGAAAGATGACAGACTACTGCCCCGAATTTGGAGGCAGCACAGCAACAATTTCCTGCATTTGTTATAACTCCAAGTAGTCTGAACAATTTTTTTTGTGAACTACGATAGATCATGAAGCTGCTGAACTTATAGCAATTGCCTTCATCTTGTTGCAGTAAACTGACAAATGGATAGTAAGGAAAAATACCATAAGAATATAACTGAAGAAATATATACTCTCTCCGATCCAGAATAAGTGTCGTGGTTTTAGTTCAGATAGCATTTTAACTGAAGAACTGGCAGAATTCTCATCAATTAAGTGCCACATTAACTTTTCATTAGTTACGTACAACATTCTCTATATGCAATACTTTTCTCTCGAGTACCAGTTCAATAACCGAACTGTAAACGGGATGGCCAACAAGTAGAATCAGCCAGCAGGCTATAATCCTGTTTCCAATCCTTGAAGAAGAAAGGGAATACAGGAAGAAGAAGGACTCATATATTTAAATGGCAGATCATGCTGTTGCACCCATGTAACAATCTGAGCAGTGGATTCAGTTATTTCATGAAAACAGATTAATATTTTTGTGCGGTCAAATCTATAGTATCCCATCTAAGTGGTGCTTTTTATAGAGGAATAAATTTTTTTGTTTTTTTTTCAGTTTTTCCTGGGTAGTTCAAAGTTTTGGCCAAAAGTTGAATTTTTCACATCTGAAAATAGGGACATGTGCTGAAATTCTTTTGTTATTTTGGTCTCTTGGTCCCTGTCGTTTCTGTCATCTAGCAAAGAAATATGATCAACTGTAATCTGTGGCATTTTATCAATTGGCAAAGCTAAGTCAGTGCATTTGATCAATTGCAGAAAAGATGGGGCATTTTGGCTGCAGCAGAGAAAATATGGAGCATTTTATCAGTTAGCCTTGTTCCAGCGCTGTCCATACCTGGTACGTTTTCTGCACCAAGAGGTCGTCAGAGCTGCTGCAGCAACGTAAATCCGGCGGCCGAACTCGGTGGGGATCCATGGCGTGGATCTGGATGCTCTCGGTGGCTGGAGCCGTCCTCCTGTGGGCGGTTTCCCTCGGGCGGATCCTCTCCTCCCCGACGCCCTACTCCCTGCCTCCAAACCCTCGCTTCCTGCCCCCTCTTGGCGACAGGAGGAGCAGGAACGTGCTCCTGGTGCTGGCCCACCCCGATGACGAGTCCATGTAGGTTACACCTCCACTGCTCCCCTTCCTGTATGCTCTGCATACCAGGTGCTCGATAAAATTCATGTCGCGTCAAACTCTTGTGGCAGCTGCGTAGATCATGTATGGCAGTGGGTATTAATTGACTGGAATCCAGTAGCTTGTGGAAATGATAATAATCAATGGTTTAACTCTGACTCAAAAAAACTGCGGTCCGTCCAATCCATGTGCTGCCTGAGCTTCAGTGTGGATAACTGGATATTATGTGTTTTCCCTTAGTTCTAGTTTGGTGCTTTGGTTGATATATTCTTGATGGCGATGTGTATCTAATGCAGGTTTTTCACTCCAACTATTCTTTTCCTCAAGTCAAAAGGTCACAGCATTCATGTTTTGTGCATGTCTCTGGGTAAGATTGCTACCCTGGTGTTAAGTATGTCTATTTTTTTCTGTATCTTTACGTATGTCCAGGAGCAGTCATCTGCCCATCCATTTGTTTGGCCAAAATACATCATATGCATACCTGACTATTTTATATGAAAATATACTTGAACTTTACTGGATTGTTGCCGGATGTTCTGACACACCATCCACTTTTCCATCAGAAGCATATATAGGTAACCATGGCCCATTCTATCTATGTGGCAACACTTAGAAAAGGAATATTTTAGCATCGCCCGCATAACATCTTCCACAGTCCAAATTCAAAATAACATCTGTTATCCATGGACAACGGTCTATATGTGTGGTGATGATCCACTGATTATTATTGGTAAATATTCTAAACAAATCGCCAAAATATGAAGGAGGGCTTTGGGAATGTAATTTTGTTTTCTATACTACTTGATAGGTTCTGTTGACTAATGGATGACTAGAATATGCTATCTTTTATGAAGCATATAATCTTCTGCCTGGCTTACTAAAATGATAGATAAATAGCTGCACGTTTAGAAATCTGTTTCTTTGGCGTATAGTACAAATACAGAAGTACTTGTCTGCATATTAGAGTTGTGCCTAGCTAATCTTTCTGAGTGATTACTACCACTTTTACAGGCAATGCTGATGGTCTTGGAGATACTCGTCAAGAAGAACTATACAATGCATGTGCGGCTCTTAAGGTACACGGGTTTTCCACTTGTCCATAGCGCCCTCTGGGGAAAGCTTTTGCTCAGCTCCTGACATGGCTCCCATAATTGCAGATTCCAGCTGAGCAAGTTGCAGTCTTGGACCATCAAAAGTTGCAGGTTATTTAGTTTGCACTCATTTTTCATACTCCAGATACTATTCCAAACACACATTGACAGTTGAGCATACCCAATGTATGTTGTAGGATGGGTTTCATGAGAAATGGGATCATGGACTATTAGCCGAACTTACCATGGAGCAGATCCAACTGTGGGATATCGACACAGTAATGACTTCATCTCAGTCCTCACATGAACACCTGACCATAATGTACTTCTTTTACCAGCTGTAGTACGAAGTTGTAGTGTTACGTTTTACACTGATTTTGCCAGTTCTAAACATATTTGAAACCATCGACCTGAGGGAACAGATATGAAATGTGTTGATCTGAACTAGATGTAAAATACAAAATGTTCGAGAAGTATCTAGCAGACTACCACCACATCACTACTTCTGTACTTTACTTCCCCGAATCACTGAATGTTTAAAGGAATATTCTTCACAACCTTTCACTAGTTATACTTGTTCCAGATAAAAACCAATTATCTGACACTATATTAGCTATCCCCAGTTCTAAATCTCAATGCAATTCCACGGCATACAGTTACTAAGTAGTTTACATCATACAATTGTGCGGTCAAAATGCCCTTATCTGCATTTCTTTGGACCTCTCAAACTGATTTGAATTTTTTCCCTTCTTCAATTTTACTTACTGCTGCAATATGTCATGTTGTTTTAGATTGTGACGTTTGATATCTATGGAGTATCAGGCCATCCGAATCATCGTGATGTTCATCATGGCATATGGTTAGTTAACTTCTCATTTGTTGCTACAGTTCATTAGTTTCTCACATTTGTCTTTACTTATGATTGTTTAGATTACATATATAGTGTTTATCATATTTATGGTGTACATTTTGGATCTGCTGTTCAAGAATCTAAACTGTTTTTATTTTTGTATGAACAGCAAGCTTCTTCATGAGAATCAGCGAGGAAATATTGAAGCATGGGAACTTGTAAGCTTCTTTACAGGAGCCTTGGATTACATTCTCCATGTTTTCTTATTAGATCCTTATAGTCACCTTTTTATTTTTAAGGCCTGAAAGAGTACACAAAATACTTTGTTTGTTTTCCATATGGTGTGATTAAAAGCATTTATCTTGTCAATTTCGTAGGATCAGAAAGGTAGAAACCAATAATACTATTTAATATGTTCTTTGAAAAATGATATATTGGCTGAGTGTACTTTTCTCGGTTAATTTCACTATGTTATTGTATCAAGCTAGATAACTTCCAATTGAATAACATATGACATAAGGAATAAATAATACTTGTACTCTTATGAATGGTTTTTGGACAATGCCAGTCATTTTGATGTGTGTGTTTTTTCTGTCGTTTGTATGGATGTATGTTCACAACCTCTCGTTCTTTGATAAAATTAGCGTGAGCTAACATGATTGGTGTTGGTTTCTTGGGAAATGTAGGTAAGCCTGAATATGTTCCGCAAATACAGTGGTGCAGTTGACATTTGGTTGTCATCTTTGATCTCCTCAAGTTCAAAGCAACTGATGTATTGTCTAGTTAACTGTAACCCATCCAGAACCTTTGAGGCAATGGCTGCACACAGAAGTCAGTGGGTTTGGTAAGTATAATCAGTTTTCTTTTAAATTTGACACATCATCTCATTTTCTGTTGTAAAAACTTGCACTATAACAGAATGGCAGAGGTCAATCTCATAGTCTGAACTTTGCCAAAAGTTTATTTTCAACCTTGACTCTAAAACCATTTGATTTCAAACCTTGAACTATTGAAATCATCCATTTGTCACACTCAGGTGGTTTCACTTGTGGTTTAGCGCACCGTGAATGCTATGTGTCCCCACATCACTGCCATGCCGTTGCCATGTCACCACATTCTGTTTATCCATATGTTTCTGCAAAATTTTCTTCTACATTTACCATTTGTGTGTAACTTTTTATCTGGATGTTGAGGTTTCTTTTAGACTGTTTGTTATTGTAGTGTTTGTTTGTTCGGCAGGGACATGGTAGGCATACCACATCCACCTCAACCAAAACAGTTATCAATAGTTCGCAGGTGCAATTAACTGTTCTAGAGTTTAAGGTTGAAAAGTGCACTTTTGCCGAAGTTATCGAATCAGAAGGGTAGACATTTTTCCTTCTAGAAATGATGCTAAATTATTTCACTAGAATCTGTTGTTGAGAGCTCAATAGATTTTCATGAGGTGACACAGTTTGACCGTTAACTGGTTGTTGCCAACTTTAGCATATAATTCATGCATCTGGCAATACTTATAATCTTCCTTTTAATATGATGTTGCATCCAGCATTTAAAGACGCTCCAGCGACCAATTCAAAATTCCCAATGTTAGTTTCTGTAGGACGTGCATTATGTTAATTCAAGAAAATCAATGCATTTTTTCTTTTTGCAGGTTCAGAAGATTGTTTGTTAGGCTCTCAAGTTACACATATGTAAACATGCTCCGGAAAATTAGCATTTGATACTGAGAAGTACCGTCTTGTCGATCTAGATTGTAAATGTGCCTGATGGCTCACTTTACAAAAGCTTCCTATGATCAATGCCAGCAGTTTACGGATCATATCCTTTACTGCATAAGGAGAGTTAGTACAATGATGCTGAAACTTATAACCTCAAGTGATAGTTCTTGCTAAAAGTCTTATTCAGCAAGGGTAGTTGATTATGTTTTTTTTAGTTGCAGTTCTCCTTTTCACAATTGTTCTTTTCCCTAAAGCCTACGGCGTGCATACGTCTTTGTATTCATCATCGAGGCGTACAATTTTGTAGCCCATGAAGTAGTGAAACAAACATAGTACGTAGATGATTAACCTGGCAAAAATGTCAGGGTGCAAAGATGTAATGACAAAAAATTTAATTTAGGTTCTCTCAATCTGAAAAATGTCTATATTAATTAACTATTTGTTGTTTGCTTTAGTAATCTTAATCTAGATTGGCAAAGTAAAATTTGATAGAAACTATTTACTGGAGTTGATGTTTTCGCACATTCAATGCAGCATTGGATGGAACACAAAACTTACTACCTGGGTGTGATTAGTAAATTCAAATAAAATAGCAAAAGCATTCAAAACAATCTGAAATTTTTGGCATCGAAGATGCTCCAATGCGCTAGGCGTGTGCACAAATTCGTGGTAAAATGACATCCGAGGAGCTCTCGGCAAGAAAGAACAAGTTTTTGATCTCAGAGAAACTTTGAAAAAACACTGTTTGGAGTCAGTTTTTTTTTATTTATGTACAGCTAGTTGAATGGCATATCCTCCTCGCCATGGCACTTTCTCCGCCGATTCTCAAGAAGGCCAATAGAATCATCAGGGACTTTCTCTGGCATGGACGGAAGGACGCTCGCGCTGACTCTTGCCCTGTCAGTTGGGCGCGCATCTGCCGCCCGCTGGAGCTTGGCGGCCTTTGGCATCCGAGATCTGCACCGCGTTGGCATCTCTCTTCGAGTCCGGTGGTTGTGGCTACAGGGCACCGATCGTGCTCGTCCACGGTCCCATCTTCCGCTGCCTCCCGATCCCGAGGTGTTACAATTCTTCCGGGCATCGGCGGCATGGACAATTGGTGATGGTACTTCCTGCCGCTTTTGGGTTGATCCGTGGCTGGAGGGCAGCTCCCATCTCGACCATTGTTCCCACCAGGAGGCGGCGCACCCGCACGGTGGCCGCGGCTCTCCAAAACCGTACCTGGATCATGGACATACTGGGATCGCTCCGGTCGGCCGCCGTCATCGAGTACGTCGACGTTTGGCGGCGATTACAGCTCACCACGCTCACCTCTTAGCCGGACACCATCCGGTGACGATGGACAGATAATGGCATCTACTCGGCTTCATCTTGCTACTGTGCCCTGTTCGTGGGATCCACGACATCCAAGCGTTGGTGTCTCGTGTGAAAAATCTGATGCCACCCTGTCGGTGAAATTCTTCTTGTACCTGGCCTCCTTGAACCGTTGCTGGTCCGCCGATAGGCTCGCCCGGCACGGCCTACCGCATGAGCCGGCTTGTGTCCTCTGCCTGCAGGAGCCCAAGACCCTTCACCACATTCTTGTAGGCTGCGTCTTCGCGCGCATCACCTGGCACAAGGTGCTCTCCTGGTGCCGCCCCGCGATCCCGTCATCGGATGGCTCGTCTGCCTTCTTCGGTTGGTTGTCTGTCATGCTTCCCCACTCTGACGGCGGGTGACCGCCGTGGCCTCACTACCATGGTCGGCCTCATGGCGTGGGCTCTCTGGCGTCACCGCAATGTGGTCATCTTCGACAAGATCACTCCACCTCGACGGCCGTCACCACTATCAAGGACGAGGCACGTTCCTGGGCCAATGACGGAGCCAAAATGACTTAGCGATTTCATCCCTATTGCCTGAACTTGTATGAGAGGCTGAGCACCCTCCTCCTTGCTTTCCACTCGCACGATCGCCACGGACACGTCATTTTGTTTACGTGAACGTGACGTGGCCCTGTAATTTCTTTCTCTCTATCAATGCAAAGATACCCTGTCAAGCGTATTACCCAAAAAGAAACAACTAATGTCCTAGACAAATCATCCACACGGTCCACTAGTTTGCACCATTGCACCGATAGCTTCCGACAAGATTACCAATTCCCTATTTTGGTCGAACCAATCAGTATGTTTTTTTGTTCTTTGTTTTTGCGGGGGAAACAATCAGTGTTGTTGTGCTTGATTTTCTTGTTCCAATTGATCACTACAATTAGCGAAGGAGACCACACCAATTTGGTCGAACAACACATACCATTTGTCGATACTACCCTATCCCAAGCCATGAAAATTTATGATGTTTTTTTTTTTGAACCGACATGAAACACAAGGTAATACAAAGAATACATGAAATTTTACTAACAATGAAATATGAAAAGAAATGAATGTAAAACATATGAAAAATATGGGAAATGGTCATTGGATAGAGCATAGAAAAAAAGTCGGTGTGAACGAGTAATAAAAATGTTGAGTTGATGTTAACACTTCATTTCTTAGCACTTGTAAATTTGGAAACAGAAAACAAATTTGTATTAATTTCTTAGCACTAGTAATTAAGATTTCTGTCCTAACTGTTACTACTCTGTTTTGTACTAGTACTCTGGAACTGAAAAATCTAAAGCTACAAGGCTGTTCAGTGTGTATAATTCCTGTCCTAAATGACAAAAAAAAATCAATAAATCAAATGCACATTTCTGAAATTAAACGTTTGGATGGGCAGTTCCAAGTTGAACAGTCAGAGAACTGAGACCACAGCGACCCTGTCATCCCTTCCGCACCAGCTGCTCCGAGTCGCCGAGCTCCACCTCCCCGGGGCTCACTACCTCGCCGCCGAAGAGCAGCTCGATCTCTTCCAGCGTCTTGCCTTTCGTCTCCGGGACGAACCTGTGCACGAACACGACCGACAGCGCCGAGATGGCCGCGAACGCCGAGAACGCGCCGGCGACGCTCATGGCGCGCGAGACGGACAGGAACGACATGGCCACGGTGCCGCTGGTCACCCGGTTCACCGCCGCGCCGAGCGCCGCCGCCTGCGACCGCAGCCGCAGCGGGAAGATCTCCGAGCTCGTCACCCAGCAGACGGGCCCGATCCCCACCGAGAAGAAGGCCACGTCGCCGCATACTGCCAGTACGGCGACGGCGACGCCGAGGGTCTTGGGCACCGCCCCGTGCGCGAGCAGCCAGAGCGTCGCCGCCAGGACGGCCAGGCAGGCGGTCATGCCGACCGTGCTGACGTACAGCAGCGGCTTCCGGCCGACGCGGTCGATGAGCACGATGGCCAGCGCGATGAACGCCGTCTTGAAGAACCCGACGGCCACCGTGGCGAGCAGAAGCTGGCTCTCGGTGGTGACCCCGGCGTCCCGGAAGATGGTGGGGCTGTAGTACACCAGCGCGTCGATGCCGGTGATCTGCTGGAAGCACTGGATGCCCAGCCCGGTGACCAGCATCCGGCGGATCGTCGGCGAGGGCCTCGTGAGCTCCCGCCACACCGTCTCGCCGGAGCTCGCCGCGCTGGCCGCGGCCGCCTCGATCTCCGCGAGCCTCTCGTCGGCCTCCTCCTCGCTGACGGTGACCCTGAGAAGCACCTCACGCGCCTCGCCTGCCCTGTTCTGCACCACCAGCCACCTGGGCGACTCCGGGATCACGAGAAGCGCGAAGACGATGGACACCGAGGGGACGATGCCGAGGGCGAGCATGACGCGCCAGCCGAGGTGGTCGGGCAGGCCCGAGAAGACGTAGTTGGAGATGTAGCCGAGGAGGATGCCGAGGTTGATGAAGATCTCCGGGAAGGAGGTGAAGGAGCCCCGAGACGCGGCGGGGGAGATCTCGGCGATGTAGACGGGCGCGATCATGACGCCGAAGCCGATGCCGATGCCGGCCAGCAGCCTGCCGGCCATGAGCACGCGGAAGGACGGCGCGAGCGTCATGACGAGGGCCCCGGCCTGGAAGACGGCGGCGGCGAGCCCGATGGTGCGCTTCCGGCCGAGGGCGTCGGCGGTCCGGCCGCCGGCGAGGCTGCCGAGGAGGGAGACGAAGCTGAGGCAGCCGACGAGCACCTCCTGCTGCACCTCCGTGATGCGGAGGTCCCTCTGGATGAACAAAATGCACCCACTCATTACACCAACATCTGAGATTGAAGAAGAGGCAGCAGCTCTAATCAAGTCAACGAAACAATCAATTCACAAGAAGTCAACACGATTCGTTCACCGATACTCCTAATAAGAACTGGTTAACCATCTCTGTACGATCGCCAAGAAACTCACGGGGAACAACAATGGAATCGGCATCGCCGGTGCGACCTAGGAGACGGCTAGCTAGCTGCCGGAGATGTGGATCGGTTGCGGCGGAGGCGAGGTGGCGTACCGTAGCCGAGGAGCACGGAGTTGAGGGAGGCGAAGACGGAGCAGGCGAAGACGTATCTGGTGCTGCTCCGGCGCCGCCCGGCACGGACGCCTTCCTCCTCGTGCTCCGGCGGGGCCGCGACCTCGTCCATGCGCACGTACCTGCTCTGCCGGCCGAAGAATCCCGGCAGGCTGGGCGCTGCCGGGTCGGCGCCCCGCAGCCCCATGCTCTGCTTTCTTCCTCCTACAGCAACGAGCCGGAGAAACCTCGAACGGCAGCGTGGTGGAGCGCTGGATCTGACGAAGGAAGAAGAGACGGGGAAGGAGCACGAGGGCATCCTTGTCACATGTTTTGTCGTATACTTTTCCCGGCATGCACGAGATTTTTGGTCGCCGTTCAACACGAAGGTGTCGCCTCGTCGGGACTCGGGAGCAGCATTTTTCAAAGGGGACATTTTCACTTTGGCCCTTTGACCACCGGACAGCGTAATTTCTAATTCTATGTATGGTGGAATAGATATTTTTATGGTTGAGGAATTGGTTATTAGGAGGAGGATAGGGCTGAGTTATTTACCAAAACCACCACACTTGAGGCTAGGGTAATAATTTAGTACCAGATTTGTGCAGCACA